TGGACTTTCCAGCCTCTAGGACTGTGAAATAAACATTTGCTGTTTATAAGCCACCTAGTTTACAGTATTTTTGTTATAGCAGCCCAAACACACTAAGAAAGGTGTGATATATTACTAGCATTAGTACTAGTACTAATTAGCACTAGTGTACTCTGGACGAGACTACCTGGGTTTGAATCTCAGCTCTGCCACTTGAGAGCTGTGTAATTAATTATTTGGACCTCAGTTTTCTCATCTGTAAAATGGTGATGATAATAGCATTTACTTCATAGAATTGCTATAATGTACTTAGAATGGTGCAAATAATAGTGCCAATCAGTGCTGGCTAAACTAAATGAAGAAGCAAAATCCATCTGTGATTGTGGCAACAAGATGTTTCATTATCTGGAAGAGATGATACAGACCACTGCCCTCTATCCTGAGAAACAGACTCATCTTTAGGCTCCTGCAATATTTATGATTTTTAAACATTTATTTATTTATGTATTTATTTTTGGCTGTGTTGGGTCTTTGTTGCCGTGCACAGGCTTTCTCTAGTTGCGGTGAGCGGGGGCTACTCTTTGTTGCGGTGTGTGGGCTTCTCACTGCAGTGGCTTCTCTTTGTTGCGGAGCACGGGCTCTAGGCGCGTGGCTTCAGTAGTTGCGGCATGCGGGCTCAGTAGTTGTGGCTCATGGGCTCTAGAGCACAGGCTCAGTAGTTGTGGTGCACAGTCTTTGTTGCTCCGAGGCATGTGTGATATTCCCGGACCAGGGCTCAAACCTGTGTCCCCTGCATTGGCAGGCAGATTTTTAACCACTGTGCCACCACGGAAGTCCCAATATTTCTGATTTTTTAATGGCACAAATTATAATAATTCTATGGAATAAAATTATAAGTGGGGAGAGAAGAAAGCTAGTGAGTTTCCCTGGAAGGACATAGGATTTGGGGTTGGAAGGTCTGATCTGAGTCTCCAGTCAAGTCAGGAACACTCCCAGAATCTCAGTTTCCTTATTTGTGAAATGAAGATGACATCACTCCTGCCTTGGTGTCCACTGGTCTGATTTGAGGAGCTAGTAACATACTGACATGAAACCATTTCTACTCCTACTGCTACTGCTACCACTCCTACTATTACTAGTAACAGTGAGTTCATTTATGACATATTCTGCATTCTCACTGATCCTTTTGACATATTAGCAATACCTAGATATCTGAACATATGAACAGCTTTTGTTATTGATTTATTTCCTGCAACATACTACTAATAAAATTTACTCACATAAGGTTTGGGATCAAGAACCCTTTGAAATTCAAGACAAGGTGTAAATTGCTGCAAAGGGTCTCTTTAATTGGGATCAAAACGCTTCTGACAGCTTTTGGATTTTTAAAATTGTAGCTATTGTCACGTTCTGCTAATGTTTCTTTTCTCGGTTTTGAAAAAAATAGTGCAGCCAAGCTTGAGCAGGAATACTGTAGACATGATAAACAACTAAAATTTGTCATTCCAAATGACAAAGACCTCGTTTTCCATTTCTTTGATATGTAGGACAAAACACTTCACTTAGACTCTTATCCTGCATAATTCAGCCGGTCCCCTGCTGTGCAACGACAAAGGTTCAGTAAACTGTTCCTGCTCATAATCTCCAATGGAGGTTTTGAAAAACCTCCATTTATCTGAAGATAAATCACATCGATAGGGTTGACTTTAAGGGAGAAACAGACTATTAAACTAGTCTGGGGAATCAACTCTGGTGATTCCCCAAAGATGTGACTTTGGTCAACATCTCACCTTCTACTTGACTTCCTTGCAAAATATCCCCATAACATGACTGTTGCTTGAATCCTCCTAGGGCTGGTGAACTCCCTTGCACAGAAGGTGGTCCATCTACATGCTGAACAGCTCTGACTCGCAGGAAATTCTTCTTCCTCATAAACTGAAACTGCTTCCTAGAAACTTCTATCACCTGGTCTCAGTTCCGTCCATTGAGTCACACAGAACAAGTCAGCTGCTTTTTCTACTAGACAACTCTTTGGAGAGATGAACGCTATTAATATGGAGGGCCTTGCTCCCACCATCCTCTCTAGTTCAGGCTTAAATGTTCGATTCTCTCCACCACTTTTCCCCAGGCTTGTGTTGAGACAAATTAACAAGCTAGGGTAGCAGAAGCCCAATGATACAGGGCCTAAGGTTAATCAAACAGAACTGGAGCAGACGAAGCCAGACAGAAAACATTTAACTCTGCCTTCACCCCGATTCTCCACTAGGAGATGACATTTTTTTTCAACAAAGCCAAATGGCTTTGAGCTGAAATAATAACTTTACTGCTGTTCTCTTTGTGTCCAGATAAAGAATCAAAAAAATCACATTATAAGGTTTGGTGATATCTTTCTTTGGGGCCAGGTTAACCATCCTTGCGTGAGGATTTAGAGAAAGGTAAAGAATATAAACTACCTCTTCTCATTAGTTAAAGTTTGGTGATGAGAACTATTTGATGGTAGGGTACATGATGGAATAGCAAAGCCAAACACATGGCCCTAGACAAAAGAAAATATCTGATACTCTGGTTTACTCCAGTCCCTTTGGTGATGCCAGTGTCATGTGATGGGCAGGCATGGACTTGGGAAGAGACTAGAGATCATGACTTATATTGGGCATATAGATCCTTGTGAAAGCATCTCTCAGATAGGCTTGATCCACGCTCCTTGGATCCCTACCATGAAGGATGCTAAGGGGTCAATGATATCCTCCAAGTTTCTACAAGCCCAAAGCTCTCTGCCTCCTGTGTGTTACCCAGGATCCCACGTGGCCACATCTGTGTTCAGAAGTGTTGGCCCAGCATAGTATTCAGTCCCCCAACTGCCCTGCTCCCCTCATCAGGATATACTTTGATTCGATTATGTCTTTTCTAAAATGTGAGGTTCAGAACTGAGCACAGGTCTCCAAACGATAGTCTGCCCAGGAAAAGGAAAATCTTCCCTAATTTTAGAAACCATAATTTTATTAAAGCAGAAGAGGCTTACATTAGGCTCTTAATCTTGCTGCCTTCAAGCTCCTTGACTACCGATGCTTGTGCCCACATCTTAAACTCCCTTTACCACGGCATCCCCAGGTAGGTCCACCTTTCCTATAACATAGAGGTCAATTGCTTTGATTTTTGATTCAGGTCAACTGGAGGCTAAATCCCAGCTCTGCCTCCTACATGCTGGATGAACATGAGAAAGTCACTTACCCTGAGAGATAAGACATTGTGGTTGGACTCATAAGCCAGACAACCTAGGTTGTAATCCTGTCTCCACCATCACCTACTTCCAGCAAGTTACTTTTCTCTCCTTAATATCTTCAACTATAAAATGGAGATGACGACACTATCTACTCACAGGGTTGTTGTAAGGATTAAATGGATTGGTACTTCTAAAGGGCGTACGACAATGACTGGAACGTACTATGTGCTTGACGCAGTACCTGTTATTATTACTCTCTCATAGGACCCTTGTGAGGACAAAACTGAATAATGTATGCAAAGTGACTAATATGTACCTAGTATGTACTCAACAAATGGTCATTATTACTACTAGATTTTCTTATTGTGGTAATACATACATAACATAAAATTTACCATTATAACCATTTTTAGTGGCATAAAGTACATTCATATTGTTGAGCAGCCATCACAGCCATCCATCAACAGCACTGTTTCCCTCTCCCCAGACTTTTAACTCCGTACTCATTAAACACTAACTCTTTACCACCCCTCCCCCCAGGCCCAGTCAACCACCATTCTACTTTCTGTCTCTGTGAATTTGACTCCTCTAGATACCTCATTAAGTGGAATCCTGCTGAATTTGTCTACGTGTGACTGGCTTTTTTTACTTTCCATAACGTCTTCTATGTTGTAGCATAGGTCAGAACTTCCTTTTTACTGCTTAATAATATTCCATTATACACACACACACACCATATTTTGTCTATCCATTCATCCACAGAGGGACAGTTGGGTTGCTTCTACCTTTTGGCCATTGTGAATAATGCTTCTATGAACATGGGTGTACAAATGTCTGTGCTATTATTATTCAGGAATAATTTTTCTTCAAGAAAATCCATTCTTTACTGTTAAATTATCATCCTACTACCCACTGCTATCCTAATATGAGTCAAAACAAAGGCGAGAAAATTATAATGCAAAATGACAAGGTTAGGTAACTTGGCTGGTTGAGTATTGTTTATACAGTGCTTGACAAATTACCCGTGAAGTTCAAAGGAGGTGGCATAGGCGGAGGTGTGTTAGAAGCTATATAAAGCACTGAATGAATAAAAGGAAAACATGTCCACTTGACTCTTGCTCTCTGGACAAAACAGATCAAAGAACAGAACGCTTTTCTGTTTTTCCCTTACCATCAATGAACAAGGCCAACAATGCAAGGCAAGTCCTGGGGATGAAGCTGGGAGCTAACTGCTGCCCGGAGGTTGGTGAAAATACAAACCACTACTTCAGTGGGTTTAACAAACAGATCAGCCCTTACATTTCCCAATCATGCAGTGATAGAGATTTTTCAAGATTGAAAACTCCATTTATTCTTTTTGATGACAGCAATTGCGAGGTGCCACAGGTTCAACTCAAGAGAGTCTGGATGCTTTGACCAAGTCAACTGACCCCCGTGCATCTCCCTCTAGGATGCATGTCATTAAAGCTGCCGGCACACAAAGAAATTTCACTTAAACTGTCACATTAGCCGCCGCGCTTCAAAGCACATCAATCTCCCTATTGCATTACCAGGACTGTGTGACACTTTTATCCCAATTACACTGCAAGAAACACAGTCACACTGTGTTGGTGCAGCCACACTGTGGCCAGGTCAGGAAAGAGCTTCCCTCTGATGGACAATCACAGTTGATCAAGTTTGTCAGTTGCTTTATCTGTTTTTATGCTTGTTTGATGTCCCTGCCCAGAGAGTAGAGGCTTTTAAGGGCCCATCTGTCAGTGGGTTCAACTTCACCATGCCATGTTATTCTTTTACTTACCCCTGTCTTCTCATCAAAGATTTTGATTCCTCCAAAGGAGATGGTTAAAAAGATTTTCTGTTTGTGTTCTCCTTTGGAACGAGCGCCAGCAACAACGCCCTGTTGAAAGGAAGGATGTGCTTTTTACTTTAGTGTTTTCATTTGAAAATTCCCTCCGGTCCCAAAGCAAAGGCATGTCAGATATCATGAACCGAAGCCACCAATCATGCACACTCCATTCCCTCCCCACTTCCATGCTGCCTTCCCCGACGGGCTTGCATTTTCTTGATGTTTTAGGGTAATACTTGTCCTCACTGCTCAAAAACTGTACAAACAGATATTTGAACATGTATTCATTGGACGAACCAAGATTTATAGAGTGTCTACTTTGTGCCTAGATGCTCAGTTCAGAATTCGAGACCCCAGGATAAATAGAATATAGTCCTCTTGTTAAAAATCTTTGCTGGGTTTTGTATTAGATATGGTTTTAACCTTTTAAATAAAGATGAGTCGTGGAATACATTCCTAAATGTGATTTTAATTTTATACTTCTGGGAAAAGTTTTCATATGAATTAATTTTAGAGATCACAAAGAAAAGAAAATATATTGCCAGACTGCATGTCTCAATTTTGTTTGGAAAAATGTTATGGTCATATGTCTAAGGCTTGCCGTTTTTACCCACACATTTTGTATGTTCTTCTACCATTTTTCCAATCATTCCTGAGCTTTCAAGGAAAGTGCCTACCAAGTGCATTCCACTTCTTAAAAATCTGTTTCCCCAAATTTTTTGTAAACTGAAGATATGTGTATGAGTCAATTAGAAGGTAGGTGTCACAAAAGGTAGGTATGTTATGCTGCTCACGGCTCTCTTCCTCGTACCCAGGACAGTCCCTGGACTGTCCCTGAAGGTCAGGAGACACTCAGGAAATTATTGTTACATGAATGTGCTATCAAGAGTCCTCGCCAAAGTTGATATTATGCAAGTTAAGAGTAAAGACACTTGCTTTTTTTTTTTTTTTGCGGTACGCGGGCCTCTCACTGCTGTGGCCTCTCCCGTTGCGGAGCACAGGCTCCGGACACGCAGGCTCAGCGGCCATGGCTCATGGGCCCAGCCGCTCCGCGGCATGTGGGATCCTCCCGGACCGGGGCACGAACCCGTGTCCCCTGCATCGGCAGGCGGACTCTCAACCACTGCGCCACCAGGGAAGCCCCAAGAAGAGTAGCTTTAATGTCCCCATCTCCAAGATGGTCCTAACAACCCCCAGCTCTTAGAATTACCACAACATCAAATTGTGCTAATTCCCAGCACACAGTGATGCTGACCAGGTGGCTATCAAAGAACTCCCTGGCAGAAGGTGGCTGCAGATAAAGAGGGATGGGAGGAGCCAGCGTGCATGTTTCAGGAGCACTTCTGCTTGGGGCTGCTGATGTACAGCTTCCCAGGACAAATGCAAGAGAGAAGGATGATCCACATGGTGTGATCCTTGGGGAAATAAAACTCCGGTTTCATCAGGCATGTTGAGAGACAGGACCCTGAGTTAAGCCCTGAAAACCTGCATGAAGTCGAAGCAAGCCTGCCACCAGACAGCACACTGCAAGGGCTCACCTCCCCACAGACGATTCAGTGCTGTTATGTAGCACTGACAAAGGGCCAAGGGACAGGGCTGGCTGGGGAATCGGAAGATATGGAGGTAGGTGTCTTTTGGGGTTTCTGTGCCTAATATTAGCCACCTGACCTACAAAGTCACTGCTGGCCCCCTGGAAATGAAGGAGTCAGATGTTTTCTTGGGTACCTACCAAATGGTAGGAGTTCTCTTACACGTCATATAATTCAGCCCATCCCACATTCCTGGGAAGGAAAAATTATCTCCCTTATTTTACAAATGACCAAACATAAGATCGGGGGGCCAAGTGAACACCCCAAACCTCAAGGAACTAAGAAGACATATAGAGGGAATTCAAACAGTGACCTTTCGGATCCCAGTGTTAGGGCTGCTTCTATTATAACCCTCTGGAAGGGCTCTTTGGGGAGGCATGGATGAAAAAAAGGTGGGACCACCAGCTTCCAAACTCAGTAGTGAAGGAGAACTCTAAAATGAGAATACTTCTTATTTCCTAAGAGTGAAGCGTGCACATACCGCACCTAGCATGGGGGGCAGTGTGCAAGGAGAGCTCAGCAAATGACTGTGACCATCACCTCTAATACTAATACTGATTCTACGAAGCAATGCCATGTGCTGGGCACTGTATGGAGTGACTGATGCAGGTGTCCCTAAGGGAGTCACACAGAGGCAGCATCTTGCTGGAGGATTTTATACACAGGGAAGGGGTCAGGCAGGCACGCCAGCCAGGGTTGATAGCCTGCCCTGTCCAGCTCAGGGGTTGCCGTGAGAATCCAATAAGACGATGCACAGGAAAGGACTCTGAGAAACCTCACCCAGCAGGGTGTATGCACACAATGGGATGACTGTGATCTCCAGGGAACACGTCAAGCAGGTGTGCAACCTGAATAGCTGAAAACCTAGAATGCTATTCCAGAAAGCTCCATGAACTAAACCTGGTCTCCAATCTCAGCCCTACTGGTTATCAGTTGTAGATCTTTGGGGGAAAACTCATCCTAGGTTTCACTTCTCCGAGGTAAGAAGGAGAATACAAATATCCTCCTCTGCCCTGCTGTGTGCCCAGAGACTGGCCCCTGTGGTCTTGCCAGGTCCTCTGAGCTTCCTGCCCTCTGGATGCCACCCAGGAAGGCACAGACGGGAGACCAGAGGGTGGAAGGAGAGAGGTCAGGGTATTTCATCCAGCCTCCTTCCCATCCTTGTTCTACAATTTCACTTGGCGAGGGAAGGGACTTTGTCCGCAATCTCGCCCTCCCTGGGTTCCAGTAAATAGATCTCATCCTAGGATGGTAACAGCTTCCCACTGTTTTTAGTTTCCAGTGCCTCACCAGCTCCTGTTTGCTACCTTAACCTTGCCTAACCTTTGTATGTCGCTCCTGCCTTAAAGTATCCTCATCTGACCTAGTCGGGCTGGGTGTTTCTTACAGGACCCTGACTAACAGATTTACTTAGGGCTCTGTAATCAGCCCATCTCTCCCATAGCTTCAACCACCACCATTTTGCCCGATACCTCTGAAAGTTGACTGCTTTGGAAGTCAATGATGTGGGGCTATGTAGCTTACTGGTAGGAGCTTAAACTCTAGTTGGGGAACCAGGATAGATTCAACGCAGATACAAAACAGAATAGAACAAAGCACTCAACTATATCTTATCAAACTCTGGACATCTGGAGATACAGGCTTGAATTCTGGGCTTATCCCAGATGAAATGAAGGTTCTGGGGCAAATCCTATAACTTCCGTGAGCCTCAGATTTTTTATTTACAAAACAGGGAAGCTAATAGCTACCTCATAAGAGCGAAAGAGATAATATATGTAAAAGTGCGTTGTTGACTAAATTAAAATACAATGACAATGAGGCTTCGCTGGTGGACAGGCAATGGCTCACTCATACTCACATTATGAATCCCCTCTTAAATCTCTATAATCCAAGAGAAAACTCTCTAAAACAGGAAGAGGCACCAGCTTCAGAAAGCCTAGCAAAGAAAAACAGATTAAAAAAATTTTTTTCTCCTATGGCCTGACATGAACAAGTGGGCCTTTTGCAAGGCTAACAGGCGTTTTGTACTTCTTTGTCTTTCCTTCCTGGGCAAGTGGCCAAATGGAGAATCGATCGTTTATGTTTCTGTGTTTCTTAAAGAAACACTACGGGGAGCAGAAATGTCAACATTCTGCTCTGCAACTTGCAAATAACGAAAGACGATTGTCTGGGAACCAAGAACCATCAAGTTCAGAGCATTTGACAGGAGCGTGTTATGGTTGGACCAACTCTCCAGGGCTCTGGGGACCTCACAGTTATAAGGGGTGACAGATGGGGTACTTTACTGCAGGTAACACCCCCCCCCCCCACCACACACACACGCCAAGGTCGGCAATCCTGGCCAGGCCTGGTACAGCTAGCCTGGCCCAGTGTTAATCCTGAGGGAGAACTTCAGGGCACACAGGCCAACTCCTGTCTCACATACGCTGAGACCTCCATGCTTCTATGAAAGCAGCTGTCAGTGAGGTGCTCTGTGACCCATGCCTGGTGAACGCTATCTACCAGGATGCTGGGGGAAGATGCACCAGCCTCTTTCTTGTTCTCAGCAGACTTGTGGCTCTGGGTGAGAACCAGGCCACCGGAGAGTTTCTTGATGTCTTTCAATTAATATTTGTCGAAAGCAAATCTCCATTTGCCTGGCCTCATACTCAGTAAGGAGCAACTTCAGCAAGAATCAAGATGCAGGCCTTTATCCCCATTCTTGACTAGGGTCTCCTTGGCTCAGTCTTTCTGGGTTCTCTCTCTGCAATCTACCCGCTGGTAGAGAGGTTGTGTTCTGGTCTGATCTCATGCGTGAATCACAGTCCTGCTCTGGGGCAGAGCAGGGGTCACGGTGGGTGAACATGGAATGCTGAAGTTATCCAACTACCCCACAAACCAAGTGGAATGGCCTATCTCTTTCAAGGATGCCCTGTGGCTGTGTATCTACGTCACATCCTCCAGACCAGCATTTATCAGTCATGAAGCTGGAATTTAGAATTCTTCCTGTTGGACTCCTTTGTGTATTTATCACTCAGACTTGAACTTGGCAGAAGAAGGGGGCTCACTCCTGGACTGTCCTAAAATCTTATAACATTGCTTAATTATTATTATTATTTTAATATTTATTTATTTGGTTGCATCAGGTCTTAGTTGCGGCATGCAAACTCTTAGTTGCGGCATGCACGTGGGATCTAGTTCCCTGACCGGGGATCAAACCCGGGCCCCCTGCATTGGGAGTGTGGAGTCTTATCCACTGCACCACCAGGGAAGTCCCGCTTAATTATTTTTTATAAAAGCATACATTAACCTCTTCCAAGGAGACAATCTGTGAACTCATGATTTTAATGTCTTCTATACCTTTTTCTAGTATGCCTTGTAGTAGATTCATAACTATTAAAATAAAGTTTGCTGTATAACAGCTAAAAAAAAAAAAAAGAAAGTAATGATACACAGTTTAGAAAATTAAGAGTTTTTAAAAAGAATGATTCCTACAGCCATACTACAGGGAGTCTTAGCATCTAATATACATGTTAAACTGTTGAGAAAATGTGTACAGTATAAAAAAAATTAATACCTGTGCTTTATTAAGCATCTATCAAAGAAAAGACAATGTAGAGAGTGTTTTATAGATATTGTCTCATTTAATATTAGTAGGCACTTGGCCAGCCTTCTTTTCTTTTTTCTTTTCTTTTCTTCCCTTTTTCTTACATTAAAAAAAATTATATTGACCAAGTTGTATCCTCAGGGACTATTAGAAGATAAGAAAAAATGCTCATGATATATTATTAGGGAGAAAGAAAACAAGATATGAAACTATAAATAGTAATTCCAATTACACTACATATATGTGTATGATTCATATACACAAATGTATATAAAAATACAAAGAGAGAGTGTTAGTTACACACAAAAATGCTGATACTGATTTTTCTTTTTGTGGTGGGATTGTGGATAAGCTTAATTTTCCCTCATACTTTTCTGTACTTTCAAAATTTTTACAATGAGCATTTTTTGAATTCTATAATCAGGAAAATAATTAAATTATAGGTCTTAAATGCATAAGATAGCTTGTAAACTTCTTGCTAAATCATCTGTTTTTCTAATATTTTATATTACTTTTTAAAGAGACACAGACTACATGGAGACCAGAATCTGGGAACAAACAATGTTCAATTTTGTATGTTTTTAAAGGCTATTTAATAACATAATTTTCTTATTTTGCATATTAAAAATTTTCTCTATTTCTTTCTTAGTTTTCTCAGTGAAAAGCCTTCTTTAAAGCATTTAAAATCATCAATCTCTTCGTGATACCGCCAAATGTCAATATCTAGTTACATATCACTTTTTATAACATTTTCCCTTTAAAGTGTTTGGGGGACATTGATAGAAATTTCAAGAATGAATAAAATCAGCTTTTTTATTAATATATCATCTTTTACCATATTCATCATATGGTGAAATATATAAAATTTATTCAAAAATCAAGTAGAAAGTTTATAAAATCTGAGTGACAGCACAATTTGATGATTCTGTACTTTTATTTTTGCAGGCATCGCACAGTGAAGATACAATTGAATAACATGTGATATGTTCAAAAACTGTACAACAGGGGCTAGCAAAATACCTCCACATAGGAGATGCTCAACAAACATTTGCTAAACGATTGACATGTCCTCCCAATAAATAAATGCAGTGAGTCATCCGTGTACCAAGTAATATACCAGTATATGAATAAAAAAATATGTTTACCAGAATGACTGTAATCATTTCTTCCTCTCGGTCATATCAAACCCACACTATTTCAATTAAAATGCTTGTGCAGTACCTTGAGTTTCATCATGGAGTCTTGGCATAACTTGTCTCCCCGAGCTGCGGAAACCTCATCAATCCCGATCAGTTTGGCCTTGTACCGGACCCCTTCACCTTTAAACCTCTTTATCAAAGTGGCTTCACTGCGATCCTGACCTAGAAAGAGAGAAATGCAGGATTCAGATAAGTAGGTGTTCAGGGCCCATTGGCTTTAACTATCCGCAGCTCCGAGACTGGTTCTCTGGTTCACCAGCATGCTATGAAAGTCAAACCATTAGACCACGGACAAAAGAATGGTAAGACTCCTGTATGCAAATTCTGGCTCTATCCTTTTAAATCCTCAGGCAAATTACACAGTTCTCTCTGAGACTCCATTTTCTCAGGGAGAAAAAAAAAAAAAAGAGTTAAAAATAACCAATCTCAAAGGGGCATTAAGATAAATAAACATGATGACACGTATAAAGTAGCCAATACGGATTTTGATACACACTAGGTCATCAACAAACGATCATCACCCACTAGGAGTTTATGTCTGACATTCTTGTTAGAATAGTATTAGCCCTGAGCCTCTCCGGCATTTCCAGCATTTAATATGACTCTGGCCCGGGTCCAAGACCCTCCTTACACCCAATTCCATGGGCTGTTTTACAGTGAGACTCCAGAGTAATTGCTTTGTATCAAGCAGTGACTCCGGGGCAATTATCAAAAAATGATTTTACAATGTCTCTTCTGTTAACTCACGCGTGTACAGAAAGAGGCTTCCATACTTCTTTGTACGGTGCGCCCACACCTCGTAACAGCTTTCTCAATCATTATTAGCATAATATTTTGCCGAGACACATCAACCAGAAGTTCAAACACATCCACATAAAATGAAGACAATAAAGTTACTGTGAACTGAGCACATCTTTCTTGTGAGATGTTTCATAAACTTTACCCCCTCTTCACAATGACTCAACCATATCCATTTCCCAGATGACAAAGATGAAGGTCACAGAGTTCAAATAGCTTGTCCACGTTCATATAGTTAGAAAAAAAAAAAAAGAAAGAATACATAGGAATTCAAATCTCTAACTTCGGCAAACTCCCATCAAAGGAGTCACAGGTTGGGGCATTGCTTATGTGGTTCTTAAAACCTGGAATGCCCTAAGGCTTCTGATATTCACCTCCTGGAATATCATTAACTTCAACTTCTGATACCTCCTCTATCATGCCTTCTTTCATCAGTCTGACACTTAGATATGAGGACATTGGAGATAATTCAGCCCATTTCTTCTCTCCACATGATGGACAAACTGAGGCCTTTCCATTATGTGGGGTTGAGAATTATTTGAGGACACACTTAAAATAGACAAAAAAAACAACAGCAATAGCTAACCATCATATAATGCTTTCCTATTGACGAAACATGGCTTGCATTTCATTCATTTATTCATTCATCCCTTACTGAGCATCGCTTCTGTGCCAGATGCTATTACTCACTGGCAACAGATGAATGAGACAAAGTCTATGCCCCTAGAGGCTCAAGTTTTTGATGACTGCAAACAAAAATGTGTAGTGCTCTATGCTAGATGTGTAAGAAGGTATAAGCTTTAGAGCCAGACATCCTCATTTCAAATCACGGCTCTCTCACTTGTAAGCCAACTAAACTATCTGCTAAGTCTCTGTTTCCTTAACTGTTGAATGAAGATTAAATATCTACTTTAGGAGGTATTATGAATAGTAACTTAAATAAGATAGTATGTGCAAAGCATGGATTCACATGGTAAGTTTTCTATAAATGGTAGTTGTTGCCCCTGCTATCAGCTCAGTAAAAGAAGCACATAGAAGATACAAAGCTGAGGACAGGAAAACACAAAAGAAGGACGTCTGCATAGTCAGGCCTGGAACTGTTGTCCCCAAATCCCATTTGGTATTTTTTCTACCGCATCCTTGCTGACTTTTAGCATATTAAACTTCTTGAATTACTTTCCATAAGGCAAATATAACACATGGATGATTCGTCTGAATGTGTAATCAATGTAAAAATTAAGTCTCCGGGATCAGTGAGGGCAGATGTCAGAGACTAAGGCTAACAGCAAAGAGAGGAACATTTGCCTGATATACCCTATACGTACAGACATCCAGCTGTGAGCACCACAGGTCACCTCTCCCTGCATTATTATGCAAGATTTGGTAGGAGTGGCCTACGGTTTGATCTATTTCTTGGGAAGGTTATCTTACTCTACCTTATTCTATCGCAAATACCATCTCTGCCTCTTCAATTCCTGACACTATTTCAGTCACTAATAGCATCCCTTTCACTATTTGGAACTTCCTCCAAAGTTTAAGTATAATAACAATACCAGGTAGGATTTATCATGTCCTGTACAAAGCTCATTATATGCACCAACTTGTTTAGCCCTGGAAATAATCCTAGAGGTAGGTACTATTACTTAGGTTTTATAGACAAGGATCTATATTGAAGGTTTGAGAGGCCAAGTAATTTGTCCAAACTCACTGAGTGGGACCTGAACCCAGATCTGCCTGATGCCAAAGCCCAGGCTTATGGTTTGCTTGTGTTCTGTGTCTTCAAGCCTGTTCTCTTAACCACGATGATTAACTGCTTCTCATCTATTCGACTTCCCTGTGAAGCCCCATCTAAACTTCTACCAAAACTCACCTGGCCCAAATCTGTTGATATTTAATACACTGGCAGCATTAAAACTCCATTGGAGAGATGGCTTGAAAATGGAAGAAACAGCTTCCAGCCTCCAGGTCATGTCCGAAAAATGTCCATAAGTCAGATACAAAGACAGCCTTAAGAAACATTTGTCAGGGCACAGAGCTCTGTTGAGGAGCATGCTTCATAAGAGGAAGCAGAGCTAGATCAGCTGAACGAGGGCAGAGATTAATAAGAAAATATTAGGTCATTTAGAGGAAAGTAGAGAGCCCAATTTAGATTAGGACCCAAGGCCAAGCTGATTTGTATGAAGGGCACTTATGCAGTAGATAATCCGGTTTCTCATTAAATGCTCCACCATTAAAAGGGTAATTTTTCATGAGCACATCTTGAGCAAGGTCTCAAATATATAAGTTAAGAAATAAATAACAGAGATCAGAGCCATAACACTGTTCCTTCAGAGGCACATACGACTTGAGAGTGTGAGGGAGAGTGTCAATCTTCATGCATCCTAAGTTATCATGAATCCCCAGCCTATTTTGCTGAAAGCACCACTGATCCTCTGCTTCAGGATGGACAGAGAAAGGTCATGTATTTAAGGAAAATCAACTATTATCGAGCATTTACGATACCAGTCATTGTGCCAAGAGTTTTACATGCAATGTCTTATTTAATCCTCACATCTGCTCTTTGAGTTAGTCTCTGTCATGAGCCCTATTTTTATAGAAGATGACACCAATGCCCAAAGCCAAGGGCATCGCCTGAATTTTTTTAGATAACAGCTTTATTGAGATTTAATTCCCATACCATTCAATTCCCTCTTTTAAAGTGTACAATTCAGTCGTTTTAGTACATTCATAGAGTTATACAACCATCACTGCTAGCTAATTTCATAACATTTTCATCAACCCAGAAAGAAACCCTGTACACATAAGTAGTTATTCCCCATCTTCCCCAAGCCCACCAGCCCTAGGCAACCACTAATCTACTTTCTGTCTCTATAGACTTGCCTGTTCTGGAGGCAAACTACATTTCATATAAATGGGATCATACAATAGGTGGTCCTTTGTGACTGGCTTCCTTCACTTAGCATCACATTTTCAAGATTATTCCATTTAATAGCATGTATCAGTACTTCGTCTTTTTCTTTCTGAATAATATTCCATTGTATGGATATACCATAACAGCTGATGGACATTTAAACAGTTTCTATTTCTTTGCCATTAAGAATACTGCTACAATGAACATTTCTGTACCAGTTTTTACATAGCCATATTTCTTCAATTCTCTTAGGATTACACCTAGAAGAGAAATTGCTGGGTCATATGGTACCTCTGTTTAACTTTTTGAAGAACTGTCAAGCTGTTTCTCCAAAGTGGCTTCAACAGTTTAGAATCCCACAAGCAAAGTATGAGGGTTCCAGTTTCTCCACCAGCTGTTCTTGCTACATCTCTTATTGTCTTTTTTTTTTTTTTTTAACTTTAGCCATCCTAGTAGGTGTTTAGTGAAATCTCCTCATTGTTGCAGTTTGCATTTTCCTCAGGACTAATGATACAGAGCATCTTTTCATGTGCTCATTGCCCACGTGCTTATCTTCTTTGGAGAAATGTCTATTCAAATATGACAGCCTGAATTTGAACCCAGGTCTCAAGCAAAATGTCATGCTTTTACCCATTAGGCTATGGGGTCTCCTGTGACCTGTCATAGCACTTACTACTTCTCGCTTTGTGTCACAGCTATTTGGATAGATGTCTGATGGAGCCTACAGTAAACTGGCAGATAGCTTTCTCTTAAGGCAAGTACATCACAAGCGCACACACCTCGCCTGATCTTCTCATCCCATGTCCCATTTAATCCTCCAGGGTTACTGAAAGGAGGCATTGCCATCATTGTATGGATAAAGACACTAAAGCCAGAGAGGTAACTGAAGTTATTTCAAGCTGAGCTGTGAACAGAGCTTCATCCTGTCGTACACTGAGGCCTGAGCTCCTCCACTGGGCGGCATGAGCTCTGGATTCAGAGGACCTGAGTTCAAGTGCCACCTCTCCCACCCTGCCCCTAATCGTGTTGCCTTAGGTAAGTTCCTTTACATGTCTTCCACGGCATCTTTCTCTGTTCAGTGCAGATAAGAACAGTTGCTCCCACATAGGGTCATTGTTTAGGTCAAAGAAATGACACACAGACAGCATGTAGGAGTGACAGGCAAACAGTAAGAGCTAGTCAGTGTTGGCCATTGTTATCTAGGTGCTCATACTTCCAGTTTGTCTGGGACAGTCCCTGTTTATACCTTTTGTCCTGACGCTATTATTACTAGCACCCCTCATTACTCTCAAACGTATCCCAGTCTGGATGGTGAATTGTGTGGTCACCCTAATTATATTATCACCATCTTTACAATGCACCGCCTCAGTGTTCTTTGTGCAAGGCACTGTGCTAGCTTTCTGTGGTACCTAGGTAAGTGAAAAGTGTCTCTTCTCCTGTCTGGAAGCCACAA